ATCGTCAAAGTGTGGCATGCTAGCAGATTGAATAGAGTAAGAGAATTTACATCGAGTGGGTTTATGAAGTGGACTTTTATCTGCATAGCTTTAAAAAATAAATATACATATGCATATATACATATATGTATGTAGGTGCATTCACATACGGTAAATAAATAAATAAAAATATTGTTCAAGAGAAGTTATCGTTGGAAAAGTATTTGCTAGGTTAAGTTTTAAAAGTAGTATACCTGAAATGGATAAGGAATACAGTGCCATAATAAGTTCCACTCCGACTTTCTTTAAAGCTCCTACAAGGATTTATGCCCCGCCGTTTCACAAACCTAATTAGAGCATCAATTTCTTATACAATGAACTCAGTAATTAGGGCTAGCCCTGATAAGTAAAATGAGGACAGAAGTGAAAATTAGTGTCGGTTTTTTACGAAATCATTGAAATAGAAATCATGAGCAGCCAGGTAAGGTTAGATGTTGTGATAAGCGAGAAAAAATTTGGGGCGATTGCTGCCTATAACTCCACAGCAAAAGCTTTATGAACGACTTTTGCAAATAAGGTTAACAGAGTAATTCTGGCAACTGTCTTACAACTCACCACAGTCTTTCGATTGACGTGATTCGTAATTCAGTTCTCAATTCTGGCAACTATCCTGAAAGCTCTTTACTGTCTTTCGAAAGATGAATTGAAAGATCTGCTAACGAGGAGGTCTTAGCATTATGATGTTTTCCTTTTAGCATTAATTTTTTTTTTTTAAGTAAATTAAACAAAAAAATATATATTTTTCTTTGTAAGGAATTAATAAATAATAGAAAATTAAATTAGAAAATTAAAATAATATTATGAAAAAGAAGGAAGTAGTGCTTAAACATGAAAAAATAATAATTAAGAAGTTTAAATAATTAATATTATATATATATTATTTAAAAACAAGAACAAAAATTTAAATAAAAATTAATAAGATCCAAAAAACTAAATGAAATAAAAAAATATATATATATATTTTTCTTAAAAAATATATATATTTTTTCTTAAAAAATATAAATTTTTTTTTCTCAAAAATATATCTTAAAATTTAGAAATATATTAAATTATTAAAAGAACAACAAATTTAATTTAAAAAAGAATAAATAAATAAAAAAACTCTAAATAGTAAATGAAATTAAAAAAAAATCGGACAATAAAATATAAAAAATAAAGAAAATTTAACTAAAAAATAGAAAGTTGTTGAAAAAGACAAAAATAAAATAAGTTCCAAAAAATTTAATGAAATTTAAAAGATAACCAAACTATTAAAAAAATTAAGTAAAAAATAAATTAAATGAAAAAACAAAAAATAAGTTTCGAAAAATTTAATTAAACTAAAAAATATTTAAAAATAAAAAGTCGGAAAAATTTAATTAAAAAAAAAAAATATTTATTAAAAAAAAAGAAAACAAATTGCGCTGCGTCAGGGCTCGAGGGCTCGAACTCGGATTTCTCGATTGGCACGTCTGTGCCTTGCACACTCGGCCACTGCGACGGCTGCAGCCGCGCGAGCTAAGTGATATACAAGTGCTTTCTCTCAAAATAGATTTTCACCACGAGTGGTGAATGAAAGACCTTTTTTTCTAAAACTTTTGTGCTAGAATAATAAGTCTTTCGAACTATCTTATCATCTGTTTTTCGTTTGTCTTACGAAAGAATTTTTACTCTCTTAGCCAGAATTGCCCTGTAAGAGGGAAATACCTTAACGGGCTTTATAGCACGTCTGGGTGGAATTCCTCGCTATAGCAAAGAGATTTTCGTAACCCAGAGAAATCTGACAAATAAGCAGGTTGACTCTAAAATTTTGGCAGAGTATTTTTTAGAAAACAACAATGAAAAAATCAAATCTAGGTTCCAGAAACGAAATTGCTAGTTCGCTTCTCATAAACGGTAGAAACTAAAAAAACATATTTGGCGCTGGCAAATTCGTTGGTTATATATAAAACGATTCAAATTTATTGATTTATATCTTTTTTTATATGTAAGTGTAGCAAACTTAGTTACTCCAAAAATAAGAAATGAATTTCAACAACTAATTTCAGCATTGGCTGCACAGTAAAATGATTTATAGCCGTTTCTTCGGCCTTATAGCCATGTGGGTGTACTTCATATTGTTTGGATAGCGTCCATTCCAAAATAATGAGTTGTTGTACATGCCATTCAAATTACTGAAATTTTAGTATGTTCTTTAATGAAAGAAAAACTACAAAATTCATTGCACTGCCTACCTCCACCAACAATCCTTGTACCACCAAGCTCCTTTCCAAACCTCGGCGCAGTTGTCCACATACTCATCATTATCCTCATCGAAAGTACTAAATTTTTGACCATCATGAAAATCTTTTAGCGCCTCGCCGGCAGTGCCCGAATATTTGCCTATAATATTCAGCGCATACTTCTCCTCCTCGTCGCCCACAGCGAAACTTTCATAATTCGCATGCACATGTGTGCCCGTATAATCCAT